TCGGAATTACATGAACATGAAAGCACTAGGGAAATTGCCAACTTGCGTGTACAAATGTGATTTTTACGAAGAGAAAGAGATGAGGATTACGTGTAGCTAATCCTTTGGTCACCAAAGTTCAATGCTAGCCCAGTAGCTGACTTATCAAGGAAATATGTCTTTTTGCATGCCTAAATCTGTGTGAAATGAAGATTCATGAAGGTGTCCGTGCGCTACTGTATACTACTACTAGTAAGTACCGATGTGCTGGCTTAAAATAGTAGAAACTACTAAACAGAAGACAGCATGCGCGTACTACAAACCGGTTCATTATGCTAAGAGTGTACTCTAGAGTGCCAATTTACGAATGGAAATAAGGATGTAGTCAGCAGCCTGTGTTGTATTAATCTACGAACGTAAGATCTACTACCACGAACTGGAAGGCCGCGCATCACACTTGAGGCGGGGCCGTGTCACACCCTGTTAGCTCACAGAAAATCCCGAGCTAGCATAAAATATGTCAGTGGGTATACTTCTGCGCTTTGCCAGTAGGAACTGAGCTAGCCGCGTTTCAGTAATTCCTCATAGTTGTTTTTCCGTAGGTTGTCCACGAAGTCAGTGTGTGTTTGTTCCTTGGTTTTTTGTGTCGTAGTTTTTCCTGCTCCTTTACTGGCATTCAATCTCTTAACAACCTCCCTGAGCCTCCCAAAAAAGCCTCTTTCTTCATCGGCCTCGTATTTGTCATTGCCGACACGCCGTAGCTGTCTTTCTCCATTCGGGTGGCCGCGAACAACTGTATTAGGCGAGATAGCAGTTTTCTTGGTCATTTCGGTGATCTCCGTGGTGGCTTGAAGCGCAGTCCCGCTGGAGTAGAGAGTGGTCGCGAATACCATTGCGAGTATGTAAGTGAGGCGCATGTTTGCTGGTCGCTTTTTGAAGGGCTACACGGGGCTTGAGAGTTTATCCACCAATGCGAACACTTGTGAACGTCGAAGCGAATCGAGGAATGTGATCTTCAGCCTGGACGTTGCTGGATTGCAATTTGCAATGCGAAGTAACGATGCCAGATTACAGCTGTGATCTGGTGTTGGCGAGCAGGAAAAAAATAAAATAAACAACAGAGCTGTTGTATTTCGATGGGCTGTTTATTTCAAAGAATAGGGTGTTCATGTACATGTGCCTGGAGAGCTTATGAGCAGAATTATTTTCTAGCTCTGTTTTCAATTCATTTGCAGATGTATCGAAGTAGGGACGCTTGTAACCAAAGCGACGGTAAATCAACTGCACTATGAATAGTACACTATACAACAGTGCTGTAAGAGTCTGTTTTACTGGAAGACGATTAACAGAGAATTTTAAGATACAGTATATCAAAAGTTGCCCGTATAGATGTGGCGTGGTATTGTATTGTCGATCGTCATTGTTACCTTGTGTCGGAACTCGTGGCCCCATAGCGTCGGGAATCACTGTTTTAAACAGTCTGTTTAGCTATCTTAAGCGATATCGTGGCATTAGCAGCAGGTTGAATTTCATCTTGCATGGCATTACTACCATGTACATGTATGTATTGCGTTTTCATGTGATTGACTTGTGACTATACACCTACAGATATCGCAATCATTGGCGCAGAATACCGTACTTGTAAAGAAAAAAGAATCTAGCATGTGATTACCTTACTACAGAAAGCGCAATTATGTTGGGCAGAATAAAGCCGGAATCCCGGGAGATCGGTAAAGAGCATCTCCGCCGGTGTTGATTTGTGATACATAGAACAATAAGGGCTGACTGCACATTTTTAGTCGTTCCTATTTTAGTGTGTTTAAGAAAAATCACTTTGTTACCGTAAAATTGGCCCCAGTGCGATTTGGTCAAAGTCAAGTCAAATATAAAACGTCGTCAAGGTTTTTTCAATAAACCTCTTTAATGACATCAGTCCAAAACAGGCGGCAGATCTCTGGAAGATGTACCACCCATAACATTGGGAGCGTCGCACTGGGGCCCAAGCCTCGGACGAACACAGTGGGAGCACTGCTCTCGAAACGAGCACAGGGTATAAAAAACCTCACGAACACTGTTCGTGAGGTTTTAAAGCCTCATTCTGTAAATCGGTTTATGGGGGTGAACACGCGTCTTTGTTGGCGTGTCCGCACCCTGTATTCTCTCTCTGAGCTTCTGAGTGGTAGAAATAGACTTTTTCGTGATAGGTCAATACTCAGTTGAAATATAACCGGTGCTATCTTGTAGCGTGATGGCCCTGACTCGAGCCCAAGCTGCTGCGGCTGCTGCTGCGGCTGCATCAGGTCAAGTGAATGAGGTGACAGACGCCGAAACTGCGATGGTGGAGCACGTGGGGACAGACCTGACATCTTCATCGGCTCTACCGCTCGCTCCCAGCGTTGCTGATCATCTGGCAAGTCTCGCCCAGCACTTTATAGCTCAAACACAGACCCTTGCTGCTGAGCACGTGGCATTGCAGCAGCAGCAACAAGGGCACAGTCACGCCCAAAATGCAGCATTGGTGGCGATGCAGGTCTCGACAGAGGCCAATTTGAGGCAGCTCACTGATCAACAACGCGCAATTGTCGAAAGACTAGGTGAAGCTCTGACAGCAACGCAATCAAATCTCCAAGATCAGCTCCATCATCTACAAACGGCTCAAGACGAGCGAGGAGGACAAATAGAGCAGTTCGTGAATAACAGAGTTGCTCACGCACTGCAAGAAGTACAGAAGGAATCACAGAGAGAAGCTTCGTCTCAGATCCAGGGAGTACACAAAATGCTTGAAGAGATCGAAGCCAAAGTTCACAGTGGCCTTGAGAACCTATCGCAGTACGTTCAGCAGATCGTTGAAGACAAAGTTACAGCATCTCGCCTTAGTGATGCCCCCGACGACCTATCGCAGTACGTTCAACAGCTCGTTGAAGACAAAGTTACAGCATCTCGCCTCAGTGATGCCCCCGACGACGGGACAATACTTCTCATACAGAAAGAAGTAGAGGCGGCTACCTCGAGCATTGCGTCTTCCATAAAGACATCGCTGCAGCTGGATCTCCAGACAGTGTGCGACACTATACGGCAAGAATTACTGGTGCGCGTCGACAGTGCTGAGGAGCCACGCCGTGAAGCTTTAAGGGCCCTGGTCATGGAAATAACAACCGATGCGGAGCGCCGATTGGAGGCTCGGATGCAGCGAGCTCTTACAAACACGCAATCTGAATTGAATCTGCAAGTTCAGCGCCAAGCGGACGCGACATCGGCACTGTGTGAGCAAGTTCGAAAACTAAGTGTTCGGTCAAAGCGACAAGTCCAACAAAACGACGAAAGTGTCCTGGAAAGTACTATTGCAGATCTTGTTCAAAAAGCAGTCGACCAGCGCATTAAAGCTCAACAAGATAATGAGCTCTGTCGATCTGATGCCAACTATCGTCTTCAACAAGAATTACATACGCAGCTCCAAGACTCTCGCAATAGTATTGATCGCAGTTTGCAGTCAGCCGCTGGCGAAATTCGAAGGAGCATTAGAGACGAAGTACGTGGTGCCGTGGTTGAGGGGACCAAACTGACAAAGGTTCCGGAAGCTAACCCGGGCTGCAAGGCTGATGAATTAGATGATGATATACCTGCTACTGACGAAGATTTCGAACTTGAGAAGAGGATGCAAGAAGCCTGGTGGAGATCGTACATGCAAAACATGTCGTCTGTACCAGCGGATTCGCCTACAACCATAGGCAGCGATGTACCTGACGTTGTGGAGGAAAAGGCACCGACGGCGTCGCCGGAGAGAGATCGCTTAAGCACGATTGAGAGGGAGACTAAGGAAACTTTACCGCCGCTGGCAGAACTACCGCAGTTGCAGGGGGGTCTCTTGCAGTCACCGCCGCCCCCTAATGTCGCGGTGCTACAGCGAATTGGATCAGATTCGCATGGCCAGCGGCTCTCTCGCCGCTCCTTGCACCAACAACTTCTGCTGTCGCAGCCACCGCAGCCTCCAAATGCCGGGATAGTGCAGAGAACGGATACACATTCCCAACGGCTATTACGCCGCTCCCAGCGCCAGTCACGAACACGAGAACTTGACCTCAGGGTTATTGTATCCGAGATTCAGCTCCAAGTCCAGGAGAGAGCGGAGCTGGCTGCACAGCGCTATCAGTCGCACCGTAGCTATGAAGAATGATGTTTTGGCTATACTGGAAGGTGTGCGAAAGCTAGGATGCAGAGAAAAAAGATGAAGAGGGGTTATATGCTACCAATACATGTTGCTGAAACAGATGCGTTAACACGTTGTATACACACGGAGAACGAACAAATTACGGATGCTCATATTTACAATGCAGATTTCTCTTCTGTTTCTTCTTCTTCTCCTAGTGTTGTGCTAGAAACGAAGTTGGCTAAAATATCACTCGTCAGGTCGTTCATTTCGTAATCCAGGTCCGAGTCCAATGGAAATACAAAGCTGGATGGTGTGTGTAAGTGATGTTGGCCCTTTGGAATTTCCTCACATTGAAGTAAGTCAACGAAATCGCGGTTCCTATTCAAAAATGAGCACATGTCGATGCTGTGATCAGCGAGAGTCGTGCGCTGCGTAGTTACCATGCTTCCCGAAACACCAAAGTCGCGTTCAATCTCACACGAAGAAGATGGAATTGCGTACAGCACTTTGACGGCTTTTGGAATTATTCGATAAGAACCTTGGTGCTCAAGTCTTTGCCAAAATTCGAGCACTGTTTCTCTAGGCGTGCTGTCACTTGAACGTTCAACATCAACATGATCTTCCATCCACCTGTCTAGTTCCTCTTCTGCGCGTCGATCACGATGGTTTGTAACTGGTCGCCTCGCTGGTCTAGACGCAAACTCCGCTTCTAACCTACTGACACGTGTCACCGGTGGGGCGAGAGGAATCTCAACGACGTCTGCGGGCTCAATGACCGCTGTGAATAGCTCCAGTAGCTTGCTTCGTATTTTTGCATTAACAGCATTTTTCTCTCAACAGCTTCTTTGCCGGATTTGCCATGCTGTCGACAAGACGAAATTATCACACGATCCAGACTCCTTTCAGTGTGTTTGTAGATGGGATGAAGCTTCAGTTGCATCTCCATAATGAACGCGCATTTTACAAACTTGGTATCGTTGTAGTATCTGCTGAAGAAACGTTGGTCTAGTGCTTCTCGCAGGAGAAGTCGTGTCTTAGCTGCAAGAGGCGTGAGGTCACTTGCAGCTATCCACCGAGGGTTTTCATCAGTCGACTTGTAGTGTGGTAGAGCATGATCAGGATTGAGATCTTCAATACGAGCTAAAAACAGTTTCACTAACACTTCAACCTGCACGGGGCGCTCAGCCTGACAAATTCGTTTTATCTCTCCAATTTGCTTCAGCACTGAGAGGACATGCTCTAAATCGTCATGGCGGTTCGCGAGTGGAAACTCCGGTGGACTTTTGCCTGCGCGAAGCGCTTGACGAGCTCGCTCTTCATACCACGCAGTGATGGCCGGCCATTTCAAAAGTATGCTCTCCAAAACGTTAGTCAGGCTCAAAAACCGAGACGTTGAGTATCCCACGAGTCGAGTCGAGGCCCCCTTCACCTTAGACTTACACAGCTCCTCAAACAAATTTCCCATTGTTGAGACGTGCTTAATTTGGAATATAGTTCTCGCAATTTTTGCTACAAAGTCTGCCATTGCAGGATTCTCGGCGGCGCTTGCTGCGCCATTCACACCACACGAAGCTTTTGTGGCCTCGTGAGCCATGTGAGCGAAGCACCACTCCCAGTTCAAGTTCAACTCCTTACACAGCATAGACTTGACGTCCCCTCCAGCGTCACTAGTAGCGCCATAGAAGTTGCGTACTTTCAAGCCAAAGTCCTCGAACATGTGCTCCAGCCAGGCTTTAAATGGTTTCATGATACCGCCGTCACGATCTCCGTATGCTGGGTTGAACTTCCTTGTACCCAATAGAACAGATTTAAACTGCCACTGTTTGTCCACGAGGTAGACTCTCAGCCCGAGGAACTTCTCTCCTGTCGTCTTGCACGTCCAAAAATCCGCGACCAGAGTAAAATTTGGATACGATTCTTTATTTTCCTCAAGAAAATTAATTACTTCGTTTCTCGTCGACGAATACAGCTCAGCAATCAGTTCCGCCACTCTCTTTGCATTAATCGTGGCTTTCATCTCGTCCTTCATCAGCAGCGCGTTCATAAGCCTCGTCTCTTCATATTCACCCAATCGAAACGGCAAGTTGTTGTTGATTATCTGTAGAGTCTGCAGAAGAAAGTGTAACCGGGTCGGATTTCTCGAGTATAGCACCGATGATTGCAAGTGCTCGATGTCGGCATCACGCTTGCGCTTGGTTGCAAGCGCCGACTCCGTTTTAGGGGAGCTTATTTTGTGAAGCCGCTGCAGGTGTTTGGACGCCATAGTAGTTTTCCCACCATGTAATTTGATCAAATTGCGCCCTGATGTCCGACAGCCCTCATCAGCTAAGCACGCCCAGGCAAGTACATTCTTCCCATTCTCCACATATTCGACGCGCACACCCCACTTGAAAATGAAGGAAGTCTCAGTAGGACGCGGCCGGACCACCCTAAACGGGCCGCGCGCTTCAAAGTTCTCCACTGCCTGTCGAACTGCGGCAGGGGGGTCGACCATAATTGCAGTAGCGAGCACGACGAGACTGTGCGGTTCTAAGCTTGCTGCAATGAACCGTAGCTTGACCTCACTCACGAGGATACAGTGTCTGGAGCAGTGCTAGACGTGGGCCACAGCGCGAATTGGAATGCAGCTCGTAATATTTCAGTGTCTTCAAAGATTCTGTCAATATCTACCAATCAAGTGCGCTAAGAACGAGCACGTGATTCTCACTTATTTCCGAGAGGATCTTTGGGGGTGGAAAAATCCAAAACTGCTCGTTGCTCTCGTACTTAGTCGGAAAGAACACAAACTTTGCGGTTTTCGTGTTCCCTCTGTTCGAAGGAGCATCATCTGATTCTTTTTTGGGTTCCCCTACCCCGTATTCGTCCGAGGCTTGCTGGGGCCTACGGTTATGGATGAATATCATCACTTATCGGACCTCACTAAGGCTTATTATCAGTTTTAATGGCCAATCATATATTTATTTGCTTTGGATAGCCAATCATATCCAAATAATGTGTCAGTCTTGGCCAATCAATCTGTCAAGGGTTAGGTTGGTCATCTAAACTCCACATCGGACGTATTAGGTCCGAGGGGCACGGAAAATATGTGTATCCCTTTACAAATATTATGATGTCGGCGTATCACACGCATATTTTCATTTTATCCGACCGGTGCAACCATATCGATACATGTACATGCGACTAAATTAGCGCTTTCTAAAAACGGTTAATCAGCTGCAATTTGTAGCAAGTAGTAAAGTCACCACTGGCAACACCAGCTCTACGGCGAGGGTTGACGGCAAAGTGGCGGATCGGCGTTATTTTATCAAGTAATTATTTTAATACGTACTACGTGTATTAATACATGTAACAGCCTCCGCGTATCAGTACCACCGCTAGTAGATACTACGTATTACGGAGCTGTACTTCAGTGCAGACTTCGTACAGGTACCAGTACATGAACATTTTGTTATTACCACAGTATTATCATGTACACATAAGCACCTCCTGTCGCTCCGCCTTGCCTTATCCTCATCCTATATGCTGCACTTCCGGCTGGAGCAACGCCACGCTGCTCCGCACGCATCCTTCTTGCCTTTAGTAGTCGCATCCTTCTCCACGTCCCGCTCATTGACGTGCCTATGTCCCAACCGTGAGCTTCCACAACGATGCACCAGAGCTCCGTTCACACCGCATCTCTGCCAAGCAACGCGCCGACCACGTCCATCTTATCATCGTCACAGCGCCGCGTCGCTCTTCCAGCTCTTCATCGCCATCCACTCGCTTCCGCCATCGCTGCTGTCTCGGCTGCTGCTCCATCGCCACCCTTCCACTGTCGTCGCCGTCACCACACTTGGTCACCGCCACCCTTGCACCCGTCTCCACGCTCGCTCGCCGCCGCCTTTGCTGCCGCCGCCATCCGTCCACACGCAGGACTCTTTTTATTATAAGTTTTACCTTTGTGACCCACAACATATAAACATTAAATTTTATATATTTGTTTTGAGGGTTTTCATTACTATGTACCATACCTTTGGTACTGGTCCGATAAGGTCATCCGGTCCGATAAATTTTGGTATGGTATGTGTAGTTTCACACTGACCTCTGACCTATTTCTCACCAGAAAGACTGTGCCGGAGAAGAGGCCCGCTGATCCCATGGTGTTGGAAAGAGCCGTCGCCGCCGTTCTAAGCAAGGCGGTAGCGATATCGTGCATACTAGAGACGCAATGCTACCGGTAGTCGTACGAGAACGCCTTGTCATGTGGCCCACACTACTAGCGGAAAGCTGTTGGATTTTTATCTGTTTCTTGATACAGACGCTGTAATAACCAGTAAAGTATGAGATCTGACCAGCTCGGCGGCTGCCGCCTATGGCTCAGAATTATCCAATGGAGCGACATTCAATATTTATTTGATGGATACTTGCAGTAGATAATCCGCGGTCATATTTTTAAAGGTCTGATCTCATACGTAAATGTAAAGTCAGTGAGCTGCAAGAACCAACGAACAGCACCGTGATGCTTTTCACGATCCAAAGGGTAAGCCTGCAACCACTAAGGGGTAGAGCTGTCGACGTCTGGTGTATTCGAAGATTTACACCTCGACATCCAGAAATGCAAACGACGTAAAAAATACACCCCTTCGACACCCACCTTTGGGTCACTCTTTCGAATTAAGGTGCTGCTGTTTGTGGAGAGCAACCTCACCAAATGTGGCGTTGTTGCTCATGCTCCATGGCCGTGTGAAGCCCAATTCATCTATTGATACAAGCCCTCAAAGAACGTCCGATGCGCAGGTCGCACAGCAGCAAGCAGGGATTGGCAATATCGGCAGTGCCCAGACATCAATTACTGCTCCGCGCTGGTTTCGTGCACACGAGTGCTTCCTGTCATTTGGTCGGAACAGGTGCACAAGTTTGGCGCCAAATCAATCTGGCTGTACTGTACTGAATTTGCGCTGAATGGTCTAAAATGAGTGATGCGCTGGGCGCGGAGTAAACCTTCGTGGCTTGCCAAGATCCATGAGGATCTTCTTAGAAGTGGG